TACATGGCAGTTTCGGGAAAGGGCAATGGAAGAAGCTGTAAACTAAGAGTCTTTGTATTCCTTGTTGGTCAGTGGTGAACTGTCCCTTTTAAGTGCGCCACTAACAAATGTTTCCCTCAAGTGCCCCTGTTCTTGCTTGTTAGCATTTGAATTGACTTAGGAGAGCTGAAAGGTTTAGTGAGAGTCTTTACCTATTATTGAATATCACATAAAGTTGTTCTCTTTTTTAGCTTTCTATTTTTACTGTCTGTAATAAAACTACACGGATTCTTGAGTACAATTTACTCCCAACTTTCACTGAAAGCCCTTTTGTTTTTTAGTGCAGTGCTGTAGGGCAAATGAGGACATATGATTATCTTAACGGTCCCTAAATCTGAGGACATGCTGCTGCTATGCTTTTCCTAGCATAACGCTGAGTATAGAGTGAACCTTTGGCACTGCATTATACAAAAACTGAACAAATTCTAGTTCCTAGATTTGCTTTGAGAGGATTAGGAGATCAAACTTTTTTAGCTTCCAAATTTTAGAGGAGAGGGTTATTTTGGCTTCATATTCTCCCAGAGACTGGTGATCTCTTTTCACAACTCTACATGGGGCACATCAAGTGTCTGCCCAGCTGCTGCATTAAACTGCAAGGGACAGGAAAGAAAAAGAGAGCATGCACAGAAGTGTGTGACCTTGTTGATTCTTCTTGATCTTTTTAGTCTTACTTGGATGGTAGATTCCAGAAGGTGGTGCTTGTGGAATATTGTTTTGCCCTGTTGGGGGACTCCAGCATTGAGGTTTGGCAGAGTGCGATCTCTCCTATACTTTCCAACATGTGCATGAAACTGCTGAGTATGGTCATCTGGAGCGTGTTTCACCAGCATGCTCCTGTTAATCTCAAGCTGGTGTGATAGTGGAAGTAATGAAGCAGTGTCTGACAATGGAGATGGACTGGATAAAAGCTAAGACATTGAAGCTCAGTTCAGATAAGACTGAGATGCTATTATGAGCAGATGGTTTCCTGGTCTGGATAGATGGTGTCAACCAGGTCTAGATGGGGTCACACCCTAAAGCAGGAGTAGGGAACTTTTGGTCTGTGGGTCATCTTTGCCCATGAGGTCCTTCCACCAATCCATGTCACTGGTGACGTCAACTGATGGGTATTAATCCTACATTGGCTGTGGGCTCTGTTCCAAGGAAGGAACAGTATTGTGCAGCCAAGGCAGCAAGATTTAATCTCTGTTCATCAGTTTCTCAAAAGCACTGTTTGGAGCACTTTTCCTGTGAATGGGTGGGTGGCAGAAGTGTGCAAGATTCTTCCATGCTTTAATTAAGATCAGAGCACAAAGGGGACTTAAATAGGAAGGAGAAAGTATGCAAATGCCATTGCAAGTCTCCCTCCTTCCCTTTTAAGCCCCCAATGTTGCTCCAGTCTTAAAGGGAGGGGGAGACTCATTAAGGCAGGGGTTAGGCAACCTAAGGCCCGGGGGCCAGATGCGGCCCAATCACCTTCTCAATCCGGCCTGCAGACAGTCCAGGAATCAGCGTGTTTTTACATGAGTAGAATGTGTCCATTCGTTTAAAATGAATCTCTGGGTTATTTGTGGGGCATAGGAATTCGTTCATTTTTTTTTCTTTTCAAAATATAGTCCGGCCCATCACATGGTCTGAGGGACGGTGGACTGGCCCCCAGCTGAAAAAGGTTGCTGACCCCTGCACTAAGGCATTGCAAGCCTCTTTCCAGTTCCCTTTCAAGTCCTGCCCACCTGTCAGATTTGGCTTGTAGATCCTTATAAGGATCTGGCCTGTGGAACCCCGGCCTTAAAGCATCAGGTTCCTAGCATATGAGTACTCCTGATTCCATGTCATTGGAGGAATCTGTCACACAGTGTGTCTTCCATCAGGTTTGGCTGGTTACTCAGTTACAGCTCTGTCTGGATGGAGATTACCATGTAATCTCTAGGTGAGGCCTCCGTAAGTCATTTTAAATAAATAAAAAGGTTGATTAGAAAATAAGATCACCATAGCCTCCTAATGATTTGGGAGAGCAATAGAATCATAGAACTGTAGATTTGGAAGGAGCACCTACTTTCTTCTCTCTTATGGGTTTTGAATGATATTTTTCTAAATATGATGGCTCTTCAGCTTTTAATGGTGACACCAAATCCAGTACGATTTTAATGCCTTTCAAGCATATAGAACAGCCAGCAGTGATGGCAGGTTTCTATATTCCTCCTTGCCAATGTAGCTCAACTGAAGCACAACCTCAGTATTGCATAGAAAAGGGAGGCTAGTCCCCTGTGTGGCAATAGGAGACTGTTGTTGCCGATTTTCATGTATCAGATAATAGTGCAGTTCAGGCAAAGTAAGAGTGAGCAGAGCATTTCAGCCTCGGTTTTTTAAACCCCCCCCCATCTATTTCTAAGCAAATCTCATAGGTATTTGGTAGAGACTACAACAAGCAAGTTTCTTTTGTCTGCCTTGCAGCAGTAGGGAACAGGGCTTTAGCTCACTGTTAGCAGCAGAATTAACATTCACTCAAGTTTTTGACTCCTTTACTTATTCTCCATTATACTATGAAAGAATTAAACCTTATTTCAAGACTGGCAGGGACAAGAAACTTCTTTCAGCATTCATCATTATTCCTTTTAAAACAGGACTTGAATTTAAATTTATTTCTCTAAGAAAACATGCACTACTGTATATGAACGCATAGTAATGGCAGGAAGCATGTATATAAGTGTAAGCTACTTCTAAGCAGTAGCTCAGGCGCAGTAGAGCTACCCTGCTGTTCTCTAGAAGACAGAGCCCAAAAGTAGAAGGTTCCTCCTCTCCAAGAAGGAAAAAGTGTTTTCCAATTTGCCTTGACATCTTTCTCAAAAGAAGGTAACTCTTTGCTGCCTGCTCCCCTCCTTCCAAGATGTGATAAATACTGCATCGGAAATCCAAGGACTGTGGCTTGCTTTAATATCAAGTGCTAGTCACACTTTGAACACACCCACTGATATCAAGTTACTTAGGTCCATTGATTCTGGTAGTTCTACAGGCAATGGCTGTTTTGTGTGGAGGGTTACATTTCTGACCCTCATGTGCATCTGTGGAGCATGTGTAAGCCCGCCCCGCCCCCTTTTCAGGCCACTTCTGGGGTGTGGCGATGCAAATGTGCACAGTGGTGCTTCAGTTGGACGTGTCTAAAAATGAACCACGGCAATGTTTGAAACTACACTATGGGAAACTGGGCAATCACTCTTATACCCCGGCCCCCAATGTGCAATGATTTCAGTAAGGATCATAAAGTAAAAGTTGTGTGAATGAATATAAAAAGTGGATATGTCAAAGGCAGTAACCAGTGGACAGGCAAACTGGTAGGATCAACACTTGGACACGTGTGGTAGGGACATTATGCTAGACTCCGTTGACATTTTTATCTGTTTGATAAATGAGCTTCTGATAATGGCAGTAAAAAAAGAAAGTGATATAAACTGTATCCTTATAGATTTTGTAAAGTCCCACCTGACAGTGCTTATTATGATCAAGCACTGGCTATATACTAAGGAATATGATACTATGAAGAATATAATATTTTACTAAAGATGAATTGCTGTATTTTCTAGACCATCTGGAACAACCAAAATTAATTAAAATGTATGTTTCTGTAAAGTAATTACATTTTCAGGAGGGTTGCCATTGTTTGTTACTTGCGTACTACTGCGCTGTTGGCCTGTGCAGTTTTGCTTGTTGTATAAATGTGGAAACTTTTAGGACTGGATAATATTGAACCATCTCTCAAGATGTATGCTATTAAAATGGAGGTGGAAAGGGCGAGTGTGTATATACACACATGTATTTTTTGCACCATAGTCCAGTTATTGAAGGTTATGAACATTACTCTAAACTAAAAAAAAAAAAAATCCTTCCAGTAGCACCTTAGAGACCAACTAAGTTTGTTATTGGTATGAGCTTTCGTGTGCATGCACACCTCTTCTTCTTGTACCTTGTATTTTTTTATTTTGTTTCAACTATGGCAGACCAACACGGCTACCTACCTGTAACTAGAACATTATTAGAACATTACTCTACTTTGGGCAAATATGCACCTTTATGGACAAACAAGAATGAGTTTAGTGAATATGAAATAATATATTTTCAAATCTTAAGTGGTTTCTGTTTTATATCTGATGAAAAGAAAGGCAATGTTAGGACCAAGATAACTGTGGGAGGCAGTGGAAGACAGGAGTGCCTGGCGTGCTCTGGTCCATGGGGTCACGAAGAGTCGGACATGACTAAATGACTAAACGACAACAAACTGTATGTTTAGGGTGGCTTTACAAAGAGAAACAACCTTTTAACATATTTCCACCACAGTTTTACAACCACAGTTTCACCACTACTAAGATAAATTTGTTATTCTGAATTAATTAACCTTGAATAAAAAGGGTTGCAATTTTGCTACACAGTGCTTTCAAATAAAATGATTAGTGCAGTCAAAACAGGAAATAATATGAACTCAGCATTTTATAAAACTTCTTTAATTCACTCTTTCTTTACATGAGTATTTATAAGCACCTTGTAATTTACTCTTGATAAAAAAAATCAACAAGGAACAGGAATGATTTTCATTAGGAAAATATGTCCAGGCTTAAGAATGTGCATATGAAGATAAAAGTAAAAACATGGATAGTTTGCATACCAAGACTACAACCTAATCTTGAATTGATTCAATCCATTTTGGCTTTGTCACAACACAAAGCTTCTATCAACACAATCCTAGACAACCAGTAGAGATAAAATGCATGCACAGCTGAAGGTGTTCTGAAAGTTTTTACTGCAGCCAGCCATCTCACAAATGAGTTGTATATTGCCTGTAATAAACATTTATTTATACTGCTATAGTTATTTGTAGGGGATAGTGCTGTGTGGAAACTTAGCATCTCAATTTCTTGAATTTTTTTTCTTTTGCTGCAAAACAGGCTCCCATCTGCTTCCATTATACATTGCTCCAGTGCCCTGTGGTTTTCCAGGCTGCCATCACTTCCTTTTTTGGAAAAAAAATCTGATGACCTCTTCCCCTGAGCTTTAATTGAAGGACAGGAAGTCGGGAAGCTAGCTGAATGCCTGAGGTCAGTGAACTCGTTAATTTTGTGTTTAAAAGAAATCATTAATTTACTATTTGTTTTATTTATTGCATTTATATACCACCTTTCTGCCGAAGCACCCAAACGCTTTGCAATTATAAAATACTAAAACAAATAATAAAAAGCATAGTAAAAATAATTTGGGGCGGGGATAAACAGCAGTCAGGCACACAGTGGAGAGCCCCCCGCCTTTCTGTGCTTCTAAGAAAGCTGATTTGAAGATTTTCAGGAAACTCAGTCCCCCAAGAAGGCAGTAGAATGCAAACCGCTGGAAAGATGATTTGCAGAATGAAAGAAAGGATGGTCACAACAGGTAATTAGAACAAAACGCACCCAAATCCATGAGAATTTCACCAAAATCCCCCTTCTGATAAATTACGGATGCAGTTTATTTACTCATTAATAGTCAGTATTTGCAGAAGGAATTTAGATTGAAGCACTTCTCCGTTGCATGGCTGACTGGGATGCCTCCAGCCTGTCAGCATGAAAAGAAATGTGGTTTGTTTTTGAAACCAAGCATTCCTTTCTTCTTGCTCTGCATTTCACACATCTATTACTAACCTATTTGTTCCTTTAAAAAAATTAATGGAATTATGTCCATCATTGTTCAAGTCATAAGCAAGGCCATATGTGTGCAGTTGCCATTTGATTCAGATTATTAGACTCTGGGGTGGTACTATACATGTTGAGAGAACTTTTGATTTAGACCTTCCCCAACAAAGTCATTTGCATGGATTCATTCATAAGTGTGTATACAACAACAACAACAATAAATCACCATACCAGTGTTTTCTGGTCTACCTATTAAAAGTCTCTCTCTTTCTCTACTTTCACAGAAACATACAAAAAATAAGCTACAAAAATTGCTTACACTTGATTTCAGCACAAAAAAAGCTTTTTGAGAAAGAATGGTTTTGTTCAGCCATCATAAAAGGAATGTCAGTAAACAATAAATACAATGTGCTTTCCCCCCTCCATATCAACATATTTACACTTGAGTCTTTGGCTTATGTTTAGATTTCTTTATAAAGAACTTTGATCAGGCTGTCATTGCACATTAAAACAAAATAAGCCAGTTATCATACATATATATCTATATATATATATTTTCTTGCAACACATGAAACCTATAGAGACTATCAATCTGCACAGTTTTGTTTTACTTTTTAACAGTTTATCAAATTAAGAACGAAAGGAAAATAAAATGTTGACTAGAATAGATACATGCAACAGATGGTGGTTCTAGTGTAACCGAGAAACAACTGAATATACAAACACTGGAAAAATCCTACCTCGAACAGCAGACGTGCTCTGCCTCTGCTCTTCTTTATTTTTGTGGCACTATATGTTCATACTGTGTACAGGCATAGAAACAGTTCTTTATATATATATTTATATATAATTAAGATACACCATTTATTAAGAAAAATACTTTTGCATTTAAAAATTAAGTCTCCCTCTTCACTAAAATCTTTCTTCACAGGTTCAACAGCTGATGCCAAAACAGTTTATTAAATTTCTTATTATTTGGTTCACTTGATTGCATCCACCCTTTTCTCACTAAGATGATTCGAGGTACTCAAGTGCAACGTCGTAGCAGAAACGATATTGCTCCTAAGGGGAGGAATGCAAAGAGTCAGTCAGATCATGCAATAAATAAATAAAATGAGATAAGAAGCGACATTCCTTAAAACTGCATAATTTGCTTTGACAGTATCAAGACTTTACTTTGATATGAATTTATTTTTTTGTAATGCTTAGGTGTATGTGTTGCTGCTATAGCTTGAGATGCATCTTAAAGCAAGATGGTCTAGGAATCTCTTTGTGACTAATGGTTTGCATCCCTGTGATTCTTTCAGCTACTCTACCAGATAGAAAACAAACACTTTTCATTAATCAGTTTGAAGAACTTTACCGCCTCATCATGGACACCATTCATTTCACAAAGTCAAACAGCATACAGCCATTAACAAACATCAGTATCTTAATACTACAGCAAGAGACCACTCTTCTGTGCTGCTAAACTGAAAGTAGCCAAAGTCCAGCTTTCCCCGTTGTGACAGGGAGCTCTGTAAGAATTTCAATTTCAATCTGTTGGTAAGTAGAGATGTACAGCAAGAGTTTGCAGCTGGACTGTACAAAGTTATGCATTCTGAGATACGTGTTTTGCTCCAAGGTCCACTCTCAGGGAGAAAAGAAATTCAAATCCTCACTAAGATGAAGATTTTCTGCATTCTCAAAGGGAGAGACGGAGAAATTCCCCTCGCACTCCCACTGCCCCCTCCCCCAGCCCTAAGTCTAGAAACTTAATCTTGTAAGCAGGAAGTGGGGAAAGCTTTCTGAAAGCCCCCCCCCCTGTTCTTTTTGGTTATCTGATCATCTTGCTAAATGTAGGGCAGGTAACAAAGCTACGTGGGTTTTCTTGGCTTGCTTCCTCACCTAGCTTGAACAGCTGCTGTGTTCAAGATGGTTCACCTACATAATACAGGGACACTGAAAACATGCAACTACAGAGCAAGATTGCAATGAAATATCAGTATTTTTTTCTATTTTCTGTGTTAAAGATTAAATAGTAACCTGTGAAATTCTAGGCAAGAAGCTTATTGATTACATTACACTGTGTATGTCCTGAAGTGATTTTAATTGCAAAAGTATCAAAAACAGCCTTATTAAAAGTGCCTTCTTAGGAAACAAAACAACCCACCTAGTCCTTAAACTTGTTTGGAAATTCAGCAGCCAAGTAGAGAATACTACAGGATGGGACCTGCAAGTAATTGGAAGTGAAGGGAGGGGGAAAAGCCATTTTTCTCTACCTTCTCTCCCCCCACCCCAAGCCTCTGCTACCTTTAGTTAAGGATGTTGCGGGAAATTCTGATGAAGACAGAAGTAGAAATTGCTGATGTTCACTTGTTTGCCCTATGTCCAGTGTGGAAAACTAATCTAGCATATACTGATTGGTAGGTCCCATGCAGGGAGGCAGCAGGTTAGACTTATCCTGGGCTTCAGAGGGCTAAACCAGCCACGGGGCCTCACCAGGGACTGGCTGCTTTTTGTTTGTAACTTACCGTATTTTTCGGCCCATAGAGCGCACCTAGTTTTTTTGGGGGGGAAATAACGGGGGGAAAATCTATTTCCCCCCCCAGGCGCTGGGGCGGGGGAAACCCGACCCCTCTCGCTCTCCAGGCTTCAGGAAGCTGGAGAGCTGCCTGCACCCCGAAGCCTGGGGGCGCGCTGAGCTCAGCACCCCCAGGCTTTGGGCTTCGCGCAGCACTCTGCAAGCCGTGGGAGCGCAGCTCTCCCACAGCTTGCGGATAGCTTCCTGAAGCCTGGAGAGCGAGAGGGGTCGGTGCACACCGACCCCTCTCGCTCTCCAGGCTTCAGCGAAAGCCTGCATTCGCCCCATAGGACACACACACATTTCCCCTTCATTTTTGGAGGGGAAAAAGTGCGTCCTATAGGGCGAAAAATACGGTAGTTCTAACGGAACTCTCGAACCCAGGTCTCAGACAAGCTCTGCACGTGCCAGCTGACTGGTATTCATTGGTTTTTGTTTTTCTTCAAGTGTACACATGCTACAAAGTTACTGTTTCCCTCTGTTTACATTGCATTTCGTTTGCATTGAAATGGTGTGGATTTAATTATGCCATTAATCACAGCAGACAGCGAGAGAACGTAGTATTTTATGCAAACCAAACTGCAGTAGAATTGAAACAGCGCTTACTGTGATCAAGATAGGTCAGAATGGAAATTGTTGTCTTCGTATGTCCCTGCTTTTAGTTTGCTGTATCTGACACAGCTTCATGCTCTCATTGTCTCCTACCCTTCCCATAGACCAGGGGTAGGCAACCTAAGGCCTGGAATCCGGATGCGGCCCAATCGCCTTCTCAATCCGGCCTGCGGACGGTCCGGGAATCTGTGTGTTTTTACATGAGTAGAATGTGTCCTTTTATTTAAAATGCATCTCTGGGTTATTTGTGGGGCATAGGAATTTGTTCATTATTTTTTTCAAAATATAATCCGGCCCACCATATGGTCTGAAGGACAGTGGAGCCGCCCACTGCTGAGAAAGGTTGCTGACCCTTGCCATAAATGTTCCCTGCACCTTCCACTCCTTTTTGCTTTCTTACACTATGGGGGGGGGGAAACCCCACCCACTAGCAAATATACTAATAGCTATTTCTATTTTACTACAGGTGGTGAGCATTTTAAGTGTGTCAAATCTATGTGTGATCGCTGACACATGGGTCCTTTTGGACCTGGAAGAAGGCAGAACGGGGGTGGGACACACTTATATGCACTCTGCCAATGTGCATGGGGGTGCCGTGAACAGAACCCTCACACAAAATGGTCGCCACCTGCATTTAGAAGATGAGTGATTCCATCATCCTTTCTCTCCCTTCCCCCAAAGAATCAGAATAGGGCTGTCAAGGTCACCTGCCCCTTCCGTTTAAAAGGAAACAAACAGATTGAGGTGAGTTTGGCTTCTTTTTCTGTTTTTTAAGATGGGGCTAGTCTTACCTTACTGTTTTTTTTGTGGGGTAGCCTGGTTCTTTTGTCTGTTTTCTTTCTTTTGGGTCTAGGTGTGTGTGTTTTGTATGTGAATACACACAAACACATGCATATTATATGTGTGTGTGTGTGTGATTCTGACTGTGTTTTTTGTGGGTTGACTAGAAGGAATAGATCATGGGGTGAGCTAACTGGAGGGTAAGAGCAACCTTTAGCTCCCTACAGCTGACTTCAGGAAGAAGTGAAAAGTTCCAGAAATGCTCAGGCCATAGGGCAACCGTATTTCCTGTAAATACAGAATTCCAGTCTGGGCCTTTTAACCTCAACCAGCTATATGAGAGCATGGGTAGTGGTAGTAAGCAAGTGACTTGTGTCTCTGTGTTCTCTATAGCAGGAGTAGCCAGCATAATGCCCTCCAGATGCTGTTAAGCTCCAACTCCCATGAGCTCCAGCAAGCATGGCCAACTGTCAGGGCTGAAGGGAGATAAATCCACCAACATCTGGAGGGCATGGTGTTGGCTCTATAGCCTGGCCTGTTGCCTTACTGTAGGGTCTGGACAGCCTCCTTTCTGTTGAGAGCCCTCAGAGGTATTCAATCAAGGTTCTCATAACAAATGAGGGTAGGCGTGAAGCCAGTGATGGCAGGGGCCACTATGCCTTTTCTCTCTTTCTCTCAATCCGTTTATGTTTGTTGATTCAGCAGGAACAGATTAGTCCTGCCAGAGGGCTTTTGAAACTAGGTGGAGGACTGTAGGTCGCCCACCCCTGCCTTAGAGCTACTTTCTCTCTTCTTCTCTCCCAAGGTATCGTGTCATCTGTAGATTATAGATTGTGATACCTTCCTGACACTGTATACCAAATCACACAGGAAGTGAACTTTGAGATGTTTCAATGAGTAAGGTGTAACCACAATCTTAACAGAGATTTCCCAAAGCGAGACATCCTTCAGAGGTGACAAAATGCATTCCATTTTCACAGGCATTCAGTAAATGGGGGGAAATGAGGGGTTATGCTTGGATGTGAATGTATCATAATAGGTTTCTGATAAAGGAGGGAAAGGAACTTGGAGAGTATTTTGTCTGACCCAATACAGGATCTACAATGCAGGATGCAACTGTGTTCTTATAGTTCCAGTTGTTTTTACTCTCCACAGAGAACATTTCTATCTATGAGACTTTGTTTGGCAATACTTTTTAAAAAATATTATTTTTGTCTGTCTACATAAAGTAACATTCCAGATCGACAAACTTACCGGTGTTTCTACCATGTTTGGCTTACTGTTCCGCAAAGTTTTTACTGCATGGAAAACATCGATGACATTTTGCCTTTTAACCATTTCCACTACTATGCCTATGGCACAGAACATTCCACTTCGTCCACCACCATTCCTGAGCAGAAAAAAGAAAGAAAGGTTTAAATGGTTGTATCCGACTAAGTTATAAAGTTACAACAGTGACCCACTTAGTTGGGAGTAAGTCTCAATGAATACACTAGTCTTTACTCCTGAGTAGACATGGCTAGGAATCCACTTAGTGACATTCATTGATTTTTATTGGGTGGGGTTTACCTAACAACCCCCCCCCAATCATTGGAAGCCCTGCTCATGGGTTTCTGCTCATGCAACAGGGCTTTCTTCCCTCTGTCCTGAAACTGACTTGGTCAGGAGAACCCCCAGAGCTGCACAGGAGGAGGAGATAATACAATCTAGCAAACTGATATGCTTGCACAGATGGAGCATTTGAAACCTCACATATGTACTTCTAACCCTTTTAATTAGCATTTAGTTGCAGATTCATGGCAATCACTGAACTCTAGGATAACCTTTGAAAAAGATTGCATTAAATAGAAAAATTGATTTGGAAAATAATAGAGGAGTCTATCCTTCCTCTAGCGATTCATGCTAGACTAGTCAAGGTATGGAAGCCAGTTCACAGCATGGGGATAATTAGATTTAAGGGTGAAAATGCTATATCACACTTACAGACAATGAATTATAGTTCTGCCTTCTCCTTCTTCACATTCTTCTTGCCACTTTTCAACCTGAAGAATTAACTTCAGGAATGACCGTTTGGAGCCTGGCACATCCCTGTGAGATGCCCATCCCAAATACTGGAACTGCTGTACCATCAGATAGCCTTCCTGAGGCTGATGAGAATAACCAACATCAACAATCACAAGTAACCATTATAGAAAATCCAAAAGTTTCAGCAGAGTAATAGCTTTATTAAGACCAGTTTAAAAGCTTCAAGGTAAGCAAGCATTCACAGTTTTAATCAGGCTGAGTGTAAAACAAAAATGCAATTGGAAAAAGGATGTTGGAGGGTGTTAAGATGACATTGGGGGAAAATGTTTGTGGAAACTTAACTAGGTGAGGCCACATTGGGTGAAAAAATATCTCAGGTTGCACCAAGGGCACAGGCCAGAGAAGCATGATTGCTCAGCTGTTGATTCCCACAAAGGCATGTTAGAATGACCCATAGTTTCAGCATCAAAGTATATGCTAAACTCTACAATCCCCCATATGTCTAGGTAATAATCATGAGTTTAGCAAAGTTATCTACTGCTTTGTGTGACTACAATAAATATGTATTTCTCATGGAGGGGAGATGACATAAAAATAAAATAAACAGAAGGATGTGAAAACAATCTGGATTAGAAAATGGTGGTTTGGAAAGAATCTGAGAACTTTTAAAATGCTCATTGTGAAATAAATGAATATTTGTTTGCACCACTTTGTTTAATAAAATGCACCACTTTAGCATTCACATAAATTAATTGTTATTTACTATTGGCAAACCTTAAAAAAAATCCATGGTGCCTTTAGTGTCTATTACAGTGCAAATTAATTGCACCATGGTGCAAATGAAGACTTTTCGAACTATTTTGAAAACCCATAGCTAGTTGTGTGTATTTTTAAAAGCATGTATTACTTAGTGTTGAAGTAAATAAACATGACTCCCTGTTAACCATAAACATATTGCTTACCCTTGTTAAATTGCATATCCTGAAAATTCTGTTTATTACATCACAATCCATTGAGCAAGACATGCATTCCACCTGGATGGGGCCATATCTCAGCAATCCTTCCTCTGGCCAATACTGTGGACAGCCCTGCATGATATTTAATAGGTAAAATTAAATTATAGCTAGCATTGCACATGTATTTTGTGTTAAGAAATCAATGCTTGATTGCACAACTGCAAGACAGACATTACTGTATTGCTCCATCTTTGCAGGATGAGGCAGTGTAATTACCTCAGACCTTGCAGAAGGAGCCAAGAGTTCCCCATATTTGCTTAACATGGTACCCATTGGGGAGGAAGGTATAGATCAATACAGTTAGAAACACTATTAGCTGCCACCAGGGGCTGTTTATGGTTAGAAAGATTTATTTAAGTGACTAGTATTAGTTTGCAGTGCTAGTTACTTTGATGTCTGTTGTATGCTATGATTATAAGTGGATCTGGAATTGTAGAGTACATGCAGGCCTTATTCCCCTAGTATAAAGTGGTACATTCCAGGAAATTTTTACCACCTGATTACATCTTCTTCTAGATCACCCTTCCTCAATATACTGCCCTGCAGATGTTGGATTTCAAGTCACATCAGCCCCAGCCAAGATTGGCATAGATGATGGACCATGTAGTCCAAAACATTGGAGCGTTCCAGTTTGGGGATCAGTGGTTTACAGTGTCTCACCAACAGAGTACATCCATTACCATTAAGAACTTACCTGTGATAAATCAACTTCATTTAACATCACAAGAGAGGTACAGCCATAGTCGTATACTAATCGCCAAAAATCTTTCACAGTGTTTGGTAGAGGGTGCTGAGTGACGATGAAAGCAGCAGGTTGTCTGTAGCTCTGCATTTTTGAAAAAGAATAGTAGTAAACAAAAGAGGAATTGCAATCAGAAACAATCATGCCGTCCCCAGCACATAGAGCATGCTCAACATTATATAATGCTCAACATTATATATGAAAACAAGATAAAACGCCTCAATATATTTTCTTGAAAGACAGCCTTTACTTATTTCATTAGATTTAATTTCCAAGAAAGTGCACATTGTATCAACCTTTGGCTCTGAGCCCCACAGGTTGTTTAGGTTATGGGGGAACTTGTTAAGACATCCATGAAACTACCTACAAGTACAACAAAACAATGCCTTGGGCTTTTTGTAGATGTAGAAGGAAGCTAAGGTTGTAAATACAGCCAGAGTTTGTAAGATAAATTAATTATAATGAATAACAAAGAGAGAAAGGGAGTTTAAGTTTTATATCAAAATCTCCCAAATTAGGAAACTTATTTAGACATTCTATTGTATTTATATATAACTGTTTGGGGAACTGGAGAACGGCTTTAAATATAGGAAGAGAACACAGGGTTATCTGGCTCACTTTGTCTACAATGTCTGGCAGTGATTCTCCAGGGCTTCTGAAAGGAGTGTGAGCCTTATCTGGTGATTGAACCTGGAAGCATTTTCATGCAGAATATATGCTCTACCATGGCACTATGAACCTTCCCCATTGGACACATGTACTGGCATACAAACAAACTAAACTTTGCATGTACAGATGGTAGCAGCTATGCAGGATGTTGAACTGAGTATTATTTCTCCACTGTTCTGCTTGCTAATCCATTATTTCTCCTGGGACTGCACTCATTAGCAAAAGACAAATTGCTAGAACTGGCTGCAAATTAACATACAAATCATGAAAGTCCTTCTAGAGTTTTCTTTCGTGAATTTTCAATTAGCTTCTGAAAGCATGAAAAACTCGGATTGGAAAGTCAAGAGAACCACCACTGTGCAACCCATTTTACCAAACACTGCAAGAAAGCCAACCATATTTCTTTAACTAGCAATATTTCTTTTAACTAGCTTTAAGTAGCAATTATTATTTTCAACTTTACTACCCATCATTTCAAGGCATATTACACAGACAAAGGAAACGGTTCTTACGTCCATAAGGGCAGCATTGATATAGTTGCTGCTCTCTCCATCAATAGTAATTAAGAAAGGCAGACATCTGTCAGGTGGCAGCATATCCATAAAGCGGTTCTTGTCATGATTCCTTGGCAGGCATGCTATGCTGCAGTCTTCAGCTTGCAGCCGAGGAGTCACTGAATTCAAGGTCTAGAGGGCAGAGGAAATCTTTGGTACAATATAGCTCACCCTACACCAGAACAGATTCGTGAATAGATTTCGGCACCAAATAGCATTGCTAGGTGGGACTCCTATGAGACAAGCAAAGGGCTTGCCTTCCTTGAGTTGTAATGCATTTCAGCCATGACAGAGAGTGAAAATGAATTATCTGCATTGGTTCTCAATCTGCATTCCCCACCAAAATGAAGAAAAGAAAGCATTGTGTGAAATTCATGCAAAGTGTTCCACACCTATTTAAAATGCAGAATCACCCCTGGCAGGCCGAAGGTCACTGCTGTTCAAACAAATTGGCAGCCTGTGGCAATTACAATCAGACAATTGTACTCCACATTTATAGATGACTTTGTAAAGCACATAATGAAAAGAACTAGTTTATACATTAGGCTCAATGCAAGGAGGTGGCCAAAGGTTGTGAATCTGATATACAAACTGGGAGAAATTATATATAACTAGAAGCAAAAAAGATAAAAAAAAATGCTGGTATATAAAAGCTACCAGCAACTGAAAATACCTGAAATTCATCTTTGAGATGTGAAGAGTTTGTCTGAGAGTCTATTCTAATCATATCAAAATATGCAGCTTTGAATTCACAGACAGGGATGGCAGTTTCACCACATAAGCAGGCTTCCAAAATTGCATCATGAATAAAGATATACTGCTCCTGCCAAAGAAGGAACAGAAGAATAGTCTAGCAATATTTTTTTTTAAAGTCACAAAATCTCTCTTTTAGATACCTTC